CATGGCCTAATTGGCATTGGGTAAGCTATTTTTGGACACACCAAGGGCAACATTAAGCAGGCACTGGACACTATCTTGGCCCAACATTTGAAGTGCTTCTAAAGGAGCACCATGATGTTCAACCAACCTGCAAGAGTAAAACAAATGTATTCTAAATACCTCATATAAAATTAGGCAAATTGACTAAGACAACACGCTAGACAAATAAAGAAAATGACGATAATCAAGAAATTTATTTCTAGAACCAAATATTTCACGATTGGCTTACCGCTTGCCATAAAGCGTAGTAGCCAATTCTATTGAAGTTTTATTATTGAACCCCAGCTCTAATCGAACAACACCATTTTGCACCCAAAACTTGTCCAAAACATTATTAACATTTTTAGCAGAAGCTTGCCAAACAGGAAACAAAATCTCAAGCCTTTCTAAAAAAAATTTCCCAAAACATATTCGATACTTTCAGAAAGATAAGTTTAGTCTCAAAAAAGGTGTTGCTATTAAGTGTTTTTTTATGCATCCCTCTCTAAACAAAATGATCATAAAGGATGCATAGTTGGAAAAAGAGTCTTTAATGAATCAAGAGCAAATGCATGCGTATGACAATGTTTTTCCTAATAAATATACAACATAATATAAATAGCATTCAAGAGATAACTGTTACCTCCTACTTGTTCTTTGGATGGTTGAGATACAGGTTGCATTAGTTGAATTTAGGGTCATGAGGTGCAAACTCTATACGCTAAAGTAGGAACCTTATTCTTTATAAATATAGTTTGTAAAGCATCACCTAGGCAATAAGGAGCTGTCCCATGGACGCCTAGTCTACCCGCCTCGCCCAGAAAACCTTATGGCGTTCAGGTGCTTGCTTAGGTATCGCATTACGTCGCCTTACTCCAGCCTTGATGCTAGGGCCCCTTTAAAATTTTGAAAAGCCCTTTTTTGTGCACAACCATCACCTTTTGTATTTAGTGCTTGATGTGGAGTTGGTTGTATACCCATACTTTCAAATACTTTTGTGAGTCCATAACTCAAAACATATCACAACGTGCACGCAGTGAAATTTAAATTTCACTTACCTCCATTGATCAAAATGAGTCTGCAAAGTACCTCCATTTCTATTAAGAGTGTATTCCTTTCACATGTGGTCATTTAGAAGTGAGACCAAAAGTCTTTAGCTTTAGGACAAATCTAGAAGAAATGTTCAATCATATCTGCATTCTCGCACCAACATCATTTGGAAGCAAGTTTGAATGTGGAATCCCTGTGCTGCAAAATAGAAGAAAACTGTTTATGAGACCATTCAGACCATGAACATAAGGAAAAATACACGTCTAATTGTAAAATAAGAAACAACCCAAGGTAGAAAGTGATAGTGATATCTTCCTTCTTTCCACTCTCCTTGCAAACAAAGTGATAGAGACAATAGCATTTGCATCTATGAATGGCACACACTTATATACGTATAAATATTGGATCTACAAAATCTAAAATTTGAAATCAGTCAACAAACTAACAATCAGACAACATATGAACGAACCTGTACAAAAATCCTAATAACATGTTGAAAAATAATTTCTCAAACTTGAAAGGCATGCTATAATCAAATGGAA